GCAGTGAAGTTGAGAAGGGTAATGAAAGGCAAGAACATGAAGAAAATTCCTGGTTGTAGTTCAATTGAACTTGATGGTGTTGTTCATGAATTTAAAAAGGGTGACAAATCACATAAAAGAAGTAAAGACATATACAAATTGCTGGATGAGATTATGAGCCACGTAAAGAACCATGAGCTATTGGCACATTGAACTACATTGTTTTGATGATTGAGACATATCAACAGAAAATCGTCCCAGTGGGTTGAGAACGAAAAGGGTTTGTAGTTTGCACACATTTCTGCTGGCAAAATCAACTTTATCTTTTGGTTCAACATCATGCTCTTTGAGGATTTATTGCATATTCCGGGAGGTAAGCAAGACAACCAAGTTTAATAATTTTTGTCAACCTACTGGGTAATTTATGTAAAGAATTATCTTGTAAACTATTAACTACACTCCCTAATCCACACAAAATTTAATTAGTCTACTGTACTATATGATCTATGTTTGCTTATGCAGAAGCTGCTTTTGTCTTCTATGTGCATGATCACATGACAAACCTGGGTGCCTATTTTGCCTCGTTTTAACAAATATCTCAACTTCTAGGTATTTCAAAATGCATGTAGACTGTCTGGAATTTGTTAATTTGCAAAAGAGGATGTTTCATTTTGATTGCCTTCTTTTGAGGCTTCAAACACATAATCATACTATCCATCCAGTGCTTAAGCTTTTTGTATTGTTTTCATGGCTGCCAAGTCCGCTAACTTTCTACACTAGTGGGAAAACTTAGGCTTGGTCCATCAACTTAAAGGAATATGGGCGGCGTCAGCCATTGATGCATTGTTGAACTCAAGTGCATTAATGGCTCACAATCCCAACGTGCACGTAGACGACTGATGCGAGCACTCATCTCTACTTAATGGTGTTTTTGGTAGAGTCAGCCCCAGAACTCTAGACCATTGACTCCAGCAATGTAGTTGCATCATAACCTCGACATCACGAGACACTGAGATTTGCGTATGTTACAAATAAGCAGCAATTCTTTTACTGAGATATATAGGTTTTGTATATTCAAAGCAAATCCCATTACCATAAGTTCAATGAACTTCTTTATTCGAGTTTTAGTTTCAAATAAGTTCTAGCTTTCTTTGGTTGAAATTAAAAGATGTGATAACAAGTTATCATTACCCTGGAAATGTGCCTATGGTTACCACTGCAAAAACTTACAGGTCCTTGTATATTTTTTTATTATAAAAAGCCCAATTTTATTGGGGTTATGGAGTGGGATGGGGTACACGCATACCTTAGTTGCTAAGACAGAAGACAGTGGAAGGTAGGGAATTATAGAACCCCACAACTAGCTTGCCTCCTAGAAAGTGTATAGTTTGATGCCTGCAGAATTGGCTTTGAACACTATTATTAACTTATCCGACATTGCCAAATCAAAAGAAACCTGTTTCACTACCGTAAGCTTTGGAAACTATAATAATTATAACTTATAAGGCAGTTCTCTGTAACTACTACATCCGCCAAAAATCTGCCCAATTTCATTCCTTTCCGTTAACAAACATCCACTCATTAAAATATTCTAGTAATCTTTTTCAATCAAACTTTGTTGGGTTTTTCTCTTCATTTTCGTTTTTCGGGTTGTTCGGATGCTTTTCCTTGTTATCCAATTCAAGATCAAAGTAGTTTACTGCTGGATCTCCACATTAGTCAACATGTTTTAGACGTCTACAATACCCTGTTCGGATTCTTGGGTGCTTAAAGTGAAGGGGGATATGCAATACAAATGAGAAAACTTACACGAACCCGATTTATGCAACCTTTCTTTCTATCTCTCTCATCACGTGATAGATTAACTGAACGAGTTATAGCCAAGTTTTTCTCCCGCAAAGGGCAACATCATAGCCACATAACTAGGAAACAAGGCACCCCTTAAGCTACAAAGAAAATCAACATGAAATTTTAGATTATTTCCATGCTTTTTCAAATTTAAAGAAATTCATCTTATTAAGTAATTGAAGAAATTGTTTTCGGTGGTTTTTGAAGGCTCCAACAGTTGAACCAGTAAGCATATGGTCAGGGTACTATATGGGCTGAAAGAGGGAGGACTGAGTCATATCAGTACCTAAAGCATTTGCCTTGGCAGTTTTGGCTTGTACTATTCTATCCCGAACATATCGTCCAACTTTACAGTGGAGCAGCAGGGTTTGTCTTGTACTATTCTGGTATTCAGCTATACTTGTCTAAATCCATATGCAGCAAAAACTTTAAAAGAAATTTTAAAAGAACAAAATTTCTGCTGCTATTCATAACAAAACTGAATTTTTTTTTTTGGTAATGTTTTTGTACTAAAGATTTCATGTTTCTGGAAGGAAAACTAACGGAATGAGTTTTATAAAAACAATTTAAAACCTCATGAGGCGTTAGTATAATTTCTGTTACGTTAAGAAAAAGTGGATGTTAATATTAATAATTATTAAAGTTTTCCTTTTGTTTTCTCCTAAAAAAACTTATTAAAGTTTGGTTAAGCGATGAAAACAATGACCAAATCAGTAATTTCAAGAGAATGTCCATCAACTTCTTCTTTCTTCTTTTTAACAAACTCTACAATCCACTTTTTCATGAGGGATAAGATTTTTGTGATTACAATTGTGAAGGTTTGTGTATTTTATGCCTTCAAACTCAAAACGCCACTTCATAATTTGACCTAACACAATACACTTTACAACAAAAATTGATGATTTGAACGAATTTGAAGTCCTTTTTATTTTTTTTGGGTTAATGAGGAACACCTTATTTCCTCATCAATTACATGAACTTTGGACAAATTCAAACTAGTCAACGGGTATAGCCCAATGAAAAAGAGCCTTGACTTACAGATCAATAATCTCAACTTTGAACTCCTATGACACTTTGGTAGTGTGTGTGAGAACACTCATGACACCTAAACTATCGATTCTATTAAAAAAAGGAAAAAAAGAAAAAAAGAAGACAAATCGAAACTAAGAAATGAAAAGGATAAAAAATAAATTTTGGTAACCAAAGAAAAAGAAGTAATTAAGGAAGATTGAGAGGGGTGAAAGTGCAAAATCACACGGGCAGAATCAAGAATTTCGGTATACAAAGGAGGTTGTACATGGCCGGGCCCCCAGCTGTGCTGCTGTGGCAAATGGAAAAAATCTCAGTGATGAGAGAGAAAGAGACCACAAAACCAAGCCACTCACTCCTCCTTTAGCTCTTGATTTTGTGAAAACAAAGCTGCTCTGGTTTGGGGCTCTACCAGTCTCATAGTTTTCAACATGAAAAAAAATACAGTTTTTCTCAACACATATGCTTCTTGTTTGGTTTAAATATAGCTCTTTCCTTCAAAGTTAAAAGAGTAATGTTATATATACCTGCCACATTTTAGTATCACATATTGGTATGGTTATGTGTCGTAGTTTTATTTGCTGTTTGCATTATTTTGTTTATATATTCACTAAATGAGCATATTTTGTAGATGATATTTTTGTGTGTCTCGTGATAATCTTCAGACAGTGCGAGAATTTCATAGATGATATTTTTGTTTCAATTATATTCGTGTTTAAATTACGAATGAACTGTTTTATTATATCATTTTATACGATGGTCTTTCATTCGTTATGAATGAAGCAATCTTTTAATAATAAAAATAAAGCTCTCCAAATCCAGATCTACTAAATGAAACCTTTGATAGTTTATGCTTTACAATCCAGATATACCACAGAAATTATTTAGTTAATTTATGAAAATTAAATAAAAATTTCTCTCTTATTGTTAAATGCCAAACGGTTGCAATGGTTAGTTTGGGGTGGCGGTTTGCATGGAGAGAGGTGAGGAGTGGGGTCCACACAAACTGTAACTACTTATTGTATAAAAAATACAGCTCCTACCTAAACTCACTCTTGAAGAATAACCACAATTTGCGTGAATTCCCCGTACTCCAATCTCACCAGGTAGTGCTAATCTTACCACTCCTCCTACATAAATTTTGGTACATCTATTGGTAATTTCATTAATTACTTTGGCAAAAAATGGTTTCATTAAATCCATAATAAAAACATATGTAGGTTAGGAACGTTGATCAGGGTTTTGTGCCCGTCTTCTTACACCCAGGTTTAAAACGGATACGATACGGAGAGATTTGAGGGTTTTTATTTTATTTTATTGTAAATACCACGAGGTGTCTCCACACTTGAAGGGTGTGATTAATCCCCGCTTGGGGTTCGACTTACCCCTGACCACAAAGTGCTTCCAACGGGTTTCGAACCCTTGCCATTGATTTTTCCAAAGCAAGTTTAATTTTTGGAGGAGGATTGTGAATGTGAGTTAAATACTTTACCAGTTGAAGTTAGAAGTATTCATTATTTCTTACATTTAGCATATGCGCTTATGTTTGCAAATGGTAAAAATCTCAACGGTTTCTGATTGAAAAAGATGAAGGGATGAAAAGAAACAAAAAAAGAAGGAAAAGGGATCAAGAAACCTTTATTAGGCGTTTGAGGCTTTGTGAATGAAGTTTTTTGGGACCGAAAAAGGGTGAGACAAAAGTTTGTTTGGGTCTCATTGTTCAATTTTTGTCTTAACCAAAATGTAGAAAAATGGATATCGACCATTCTGATTTATCGGTTTTGATATTTTCAACGTTTCAAATTCAAAATATTATCATTTGTAATTCATATCGCTCGTTTGTTTTGGGATATAATTTTATCTGAGTAATTAAAATGATTTTCAAAACAATTTTTGAGTACTAAACATCTCATTTTCTCATCAATTACAATTTCTTATATAGATAAATCTTTAAAGTCGCCACATTTTTGTCATAACCATCAGAGGAAATAAGAAGGGGAAAGAAGTAATTAATGAAGGATTGGGGGTTGAAACTGCAAAATCTGGCGGGCAGAATCAAGAAATTTAGAATAGGGAGATTGTGAGTGGGCCCTACTGATGGGAATCTCAGTAACAAACTCCCAGCTGTGCTGCTGTGGCCAATTGGAAAATCTCATTGAGTCTCAGAGAGAAATAAGAGAGAGAGAGGCAGCAGAGAAGAACAAAGAAACAATTCTCTCTCTCACTCTTTCTCAGATGTATACAGTTTCAGTCCCTTCTCCTACCACCCTCCATTCTCTCTCTTCTCTGTCTCTCTCTACCAGTTCTTGATTTTGTGAAAACAAAGCTTTTCTGATACAGAAGGTTAAGAGCTTTGTATTTGTGGGACTAATTAAGCCTTCACTTTTAAGCTTTTTTTTTTCTTTCATCTTCATGTGCTTGTGTTAAATTCTGATAATTTGGTTTATGTGAAAATGCTGCAGAGAGACAAAGCAGACCCATAAAAGGCAAAAGGCTCCAGAAGACAAATTAAAGACTGGTCCAAAAATGTATGAGGATACAGTAGGCTGCAACTTTGACCAAAACTCCATGCCAGAATCAGCAGAAAGTGTCCTCAACCTCAACCCTCTTCCCCTACCACCTCCACCACAAGTTCTCATGCCTTCTCCCTCAGAAACCCACAACAACAACAACAGCAGCTTTGCTGTTGCAGAAAACTTGAGACTCTCCATGGAAGAGCTCTCCTATCCTCATCAACAAGATCATCATGCTGCCATGGAAATTGAGCTCCAAAATGAACTTGGGTTCAATCCATACAGCACCAATACTGACCAGAACAATAACAGCAGCCATTTGGTTTCCTTTGAGCAACAAACCAATTGGGACAATATTCATGGTGTCCATGATCAGATGCAGCAACAATTGCAAGATGGTGCTAATGGTGCATACCCACCTACACCTGACCTTCTCAACCTTTTCAGCTTACCTAGATGCTCACCCTCCTCTGTTCTCCAAAACTCGTCCATTACCTTCACAAACCCCAACCCGAAAAGCTCGAATTTTCCGAACACTTTGGGGTTCCTCGGAGATGTCCATGGTGGGATTGACACCCCGCCAGGGACAGCGAGTTCGGTTCTCTATGACCCACTTTTCCATTTGACCCTGCCTCCACAGCCACCATTGTTCAGGGAATTGCTTCAGTCCTTGCCACATGGATACAGCTTGCCAGGCTCAAGAAATGGGTCATTGTTTACTAGTGGTGGGGAAGAGGGAGAGGGGATTGGAGGAGGGGTTTACTCAGATGGGATTAATAATGGGAGGCAATTTGAGAATGGGGTGTTGGAGTTCTCCAGAGAAATGGGTTCTATTGGAAGAGGAAGAGACATCAAAGGGACCAAACACTTTTTTTTTCTCTTTTTCTTCAATTATTTTCTAATTTTGTATTTATTTTAACCCTATTTTATTTGTTAATTATGAAAAGTCGTATTTGCCTCTAAAATTTGGTTACATTTAACAGAAAATGTAACGGTTGGATAAAATGGGCGATTAAAATAGAGTTTATGTACCATTTGCACTAATAATTTAATTTATGGACCAAAATGTAAATCGAGTACAAGTTTGATGACCATTTGAGTAATTTATCCCCATGGACTTATATAGCTAACTGGAAGAGCTGAAATTGCTGGTGGAGAAGAAAAGGTGTGGGAGAGAGAGGAGCAAGAGGCGCAGGACTGAACAAGATGGTGGTGCTGGAGATGATGAGAGCTGCAACATGAAGCCTCTTGGTGACCCTCATGACCAGTATGGCTCTTTGAGGAGCTCATGGCTTCAGAGGAAATCCAAGGACACTGAGGTCGATATCCGCATTATCGATGATGAAGTTACCATCAAACTGGTTCAGAGGAAGAAGATCAATCTGTTGCTGTATGTGTCCAGGCTTCTTGATGAGCTGCAGCTTGATCTGCATCATGTTGCTGGTGGACACATTGGCAATTCCTACAGCTTCTTGTTCAACACCAAGGTTGGTAGTCTGCAATTTGTCCCAGTTTGTTTTTCTTTCATACAAGTGGTGTGGTTTTTAATTAATTATGGTTAATTTTGTTTTAAATCTACAGATGTATGAAGGGTCATCTTTGTATGCAAGCGCTATAGCCCAAAAGCTCATTGAGGTTCTGGACAAACAATATGCAGCAGTTCTACCTACCAACAGTTTTTAGGGAGGCATGAGTTATTTTAATAGATACTTTCTCTGTTGTTGATCTTACTATATGATGCTGAATTTTAAAAGTAGACAATAAACTTGGTGTGACAGAAGCGTGAAATAGAACATATAGGACTTACATATTTTCTGGGTTTGCATGGTTTTGATAATTAGTCACTCTAATATGGCTTGAGCACAATTACACTACGCAGTTATATGTGCCTATAGTTAATTACCTATAGAGATGGAGGTTTGAATTTGAGAATATTGATCTTCAAGTCAAGGCTCTTTTTCCACTCGGGCTTGACCTCGTTGCCAAACAAATCCCTATCATTTATTGGCTAAAAGAGTACTCAGAATACGTGCCTATAGTTAATTGCCTATAGTTCATCACCTATATGAAAGTCTGGCTCATAAGACCGACCCATTTGAGTCCACGGAAACTCAGTCCAGCCCACCCATCAAAGTCTGGCTAACAGGCCCACCAATAAAATAAAATAAAAAATATATAATTGGGGTTTGGGTGGTTTGGTCACTGGTTTGTTTTGGTTAATAATATTTGCCCATATGTCGAAGCCCAGTTGTTTCAAACCGTAGCTAGCCGCCTGCATTCTCTATATTGTCTCTCACTAATTTGCATGCATCACTTGTGCTCTCTGGGAAGAACGCTCCGCCGCACGGGTCTCCCTCTCATTATCTGTGTTTCGAATTAATTGATGTTGCTTAGATATTAATATCTAAATTAATAAACCAAGCACATATGAGGAGATATAAATGTTATTTAGATATTAATAAATCCCTATTGGTACACTGGCAAGTGATGTTAATGTTTTCTTGACGAATAAAATTCCTATCGGTTTTTTGAATACAAGCGAGTAGATTTCTTATACACGATTAAGGTGCCATGGAGATGGAAGTTTGAACTTGAGACCATTAGTCTTCAAGTCAAGGCTCTTTTTCCACTCGGGCTTGACCTCGTTGCCAAACAAATCCCTATCATTTATTTGCTAAAAAAGTACTCAGAATACGTGGGTCTGCTTTATACCATAAAAAGCTCATGAAATATGAACTAGAAAGCTGCTTTTGATTTTATAAGAACAAAACAGAAAACAAAAAATCCCTTTTGGTAACTAATGATATTTTTTCGGTGCAGCCAAACGAAATATTCAAACATTTCATGAAAATGTTCGAATATCTTGGCACATTTTATGAAAATGTAGCATAGATTACAAGTTATACGAGTATGAAAGGAATTAAACGCACAAGAAGACCATTTCGCATTGTCGTGCACATACATTTTACAATTTCAGTTCGGTAATCTGCGTAAAAGGGAGAGCAACTGAGAAGCGAAAAATATCTTCACTTCCTAAAGATAGGCCTGCATCATTTTGCACAGGAAACAATTTTAAGCTATGATATTCTTTTACAGGAAAAAAGAAATAAGCAAGGGAGAATTTTGGATAAAGTCATTCAAAATTTAATTCCATGGCACAACCTAACATTAGAAGCCTCAAAACTTGGTATCTAACTGTCAGGTCTGCTACCAACACTGGTATGAGATAAGAATAGCATGGAGTTTTTACAAAACCGTTAGCCGAATGCACGAAGCTATGCTCATGCAAGAAAACATAACCTAAATATCCTAATACATGGGGATGGGGTTGATTTGGTTCCATTACAAGATATCATAATAATTAACTACTAACAGCAGTTCAGAGAACAACAACTGTATAAACAAGCAAGGCCGCAACAAAGTACACAGAACCAACAGTATACACCAAAACCAAAACTACACAGGCAAAACTAAACATCCCTGACAATACAACTTGGAAGATGCCAACTGCTAGAAAATCCTATGCAGAGAACTCGATACATTTTCCAGCGATCGAATATGCCAGTAGCCTGCAGAGACTAAAGAATCTTCAGATTTAATTGGACCATTCTCTTATATGGAAGTTTTTGGTAATCAAAGAATCTGATATATATACTCAAACTCTATGATATTCACTTGGAGCTATAACAGTCCAACCAGTAGGTGAGATCCAAACATTCAACTATCAAAAAAATTGGCATTGCATATTTAATAATATTTAGATATTAATGAATACTACGCAGGAAACAACAGGTAAGTACTATAAAACAAAATTTCCCCAAGTCATAAGATCACAAGATCAGTCCACAAGCTATCATTCAGCATACCATCAATGATTTTGTAGAAGTTGCACTTAATAGAAATTCTACAAAAAGAAACAAAAAAAAAATTGCAAAATTGATTTAAATTATGAAAAGAAAAATGTAATTCAGCAAAGAAACAAAAAGAACTTGATCGGGTTGCAAAATCATACTAATATTTTCCTTTGCTACTAGAGTGTATCCTGTGAAGGAATCTATCTATTTCATGGTACTACTTCTATACCTAGGTTATTGGGGAGTGTTGACTCTGTACAACTATAAACCATAGATAAAAGACGATGGATTTTCAGATAACAACATTATGCACAGCTTACTCAAGCATAAAATGAAGAACACCATGAATAAAAATGATTCTAAACTACCAAAATTTCACAATCCCAATATGATCCGTATATAACCAGTTTTCCAATACATTATCCTTCTGATTAGCAGCACAAGATGGCCAGACCTCAATCAAGATTATAGTCACTATTGTAGTACTATTACAAACCCCGCACTCATATGTTCTTCAAAAATTAACTCACAATTCCTCTGAGTACCGGAACGGCCCCAAATTTAGCTCAACATGTTCTACTTAAGCACTCCCACAATTCTTGAAAGCAACTTACCTTATAAATAAGCAAATTATATGCTTCGACCAAAAAAGGAAGCAAATTATATGCAGAAACACATAAGAAACACTTTCCAAACAATCAAAAAGCAACCACCTCCTGCAATTTGAGGACTTAACCCAACTGGGTTACATTCAAAATTACAGCACAACTAACAAATTACTCAACCACTGAATGTGTGTAAAACTTTTAAACATTAACGCAGCTAGGAAGCGATTTCCCTAAAAACAGAAGACATTCTGAACCAAAACACATGATAACCATTCGCCAAAAAATCGTAAACACATGGACTTTGAAGAACAAAACCCAACTGGTTCACCTTCTAACCTTCTAAATCTGTGAAGAGGAACCAGAAAAAGCGACTTACTCATTGGATGTACTTGGGTATTTCTCCTTCCTCAATCAGGTCATCAATGTTGTGCAGGGACCTCTCCTCAGACGCCACGATGAAGATTGCGCGCGCCTCAGCTTTCTTGGCCAGCCGTGCTGCCAAATTCAGAGGCAAATCCGGTGAGTTGAGGCTTCTCAGAATTTGGCGATACAGTGAGAGAACGCGTCCTCTGTTTCTTGCCAAGTCCTCTGCCGTTGCCCATATCAGACCCTTTCCCATTTCTCACTGCCCAGATTTCAAAGCCGTCAAATGCTTTGAGCTTTTTACTTCCCTATGCCGGGCCGAGCCAGCCTAAAGCCTAGACTGGGCCGGATCTGTCCTTTTTTTTTTATCTAAGTTGGGCTGGGCTGGGCTGGGCTGGGCTGCCTATTAAAATCGAATTCTCTATTTGATCTCTTAATCTTGAATGATTTAATATCATATACAGGGAGACTATAATGAGGGCTTACAGTGAAAGGTTATAATGAGAGATCTTGAATAGCCGTTTTATTAAGTGCAGAGTTATTATTAGATTGCTGAATTGAACCCTCTCATTGTATAAGCTCCCTATAATATAATGTCGCGTAAGCTTAATATCTTGGTTACTTCCACCAAAGTTTGCAAGACTCTTGTGTTGCATAGATACACCAATTTTTTGGCCAAGTTGAGCATTGGATGTGTTTGGATTCGGTAGTATTCATGGGTGTGAGTTTTCCGTCCTCTCCCGTCCTAACTTTGGGAAAAAAAAAAACAGGAAAAGCAAAAATCTCAAATACTCACTATGAAAGAAAGAAAATTTTAAAATACGAGCAATCACCACAATTTATCATAACTGTCAAAAGGAGCAAGTGTTTATGTGAGCCAGTCAGACTCAGAATAGTATACTCATTCCCTTTACCAAGTTTAATGAGATTGTGAGTGGGCCCCACTTAATGGGAATCTCAGTAACAAACTCCCACAAGTTTCAGTCCCTTCTCCTACCACCTCTCTCTCTCTCTCTCTCTCTCTCTCTCTCTCTCTCGTATAAATTCCATCTCTACCAGTTCTTGAATTTGCGAACAACTCTTCTTAATTTGGGGGCTCTACCATTCTGATACAAATAGGTTATAGCTAGGTTAATAAGGCTAATAGTAATTATGATATTAATTTGTGGGTGACTAATTTCTCTGCCTTTCACATTCATGTTCTTATGTTTAATTCTGATCTTTGGTTTACTGTGGAAATGCTTCAGAGAGACAAACAAAGCCATAATAAGAAAAGGCTGCTACTTTGAAGACAAAGTAGGGAAATCAACTCCAAGAATGTATGAAGACACAGTAGGCTGCAACTTTGATCCAAACTCCATGCCAGAATCTGCAGAAACTGTGATCAACGTCAACCCCCGCCACCACAAGTTCTCATGCCTTCTCCTTCAGAGACCCACAAAAACAACAACTTTCCTGTTGCACAAAACTTGAGACTCTCCATTGAAGAGATCTCCTACCCTCGTCAACAAGATCATCATGCTGCCATGGAAATTGAGCTCCAACATGAACTTGGGTCACCAATACTGACCAGAACAACAATAGCAGCCATTTGCTTTCCTTTGAGCAACAAACCAATTGGGACACCGCCGGAGGAGTGGACACACAGCCAAGGACAGTGTCTTCAGTTTTCTATAACCCACTTTTGCATTTAAACCTGCCTCCGCAGGCACCATTGCACAGGGAGTTGTACCAGTCTTTGTTTAGTAGTGGTGGGGATGAGAGAGAGGGGATTGGAGGAGTGGTTTACTCAGATGGGATTAATAATGGGAGGCAATTTGAGAATGGGGTGTTGGAGTTCTCCAAAGAAATGGGTTCTTTGATAGGTGCTTTTATTGTGGCCGATGGAACTGCACCTTGAGCACTTTCTTGTTCTGCTGCCCTCTCCTTGTGAGGGAATTTTCAGCTTCTTCCGTCTGCCTGGCATGACCTTCGCCATGGGAGGTAGCACAACTCGACTTCGGACATCTTCAAGAATAACCCACATTCCCTGAGGCTGTACCAGGTAGATGCTATCCGAATAAGCATTCAACCAAGTATTTCGAGTGTAATATCGAGAAGCCTTGGAGTATACATTTTGGTTCAAGAAGCGGCAAACTGCAACGACATGCTTGCAAGGTAGTTGATCAAGCTGAAACTTCCTACAACTACAACTGTTGTTCATCATATGTACAAGGCCGTCCATATCACCATCCACAACATTATACTGTACTTTATTTAGTTTAACCACATTCATCCTTGAAGCATCATCCAACCTATTCCTCAACTTCTTCTCGCCAAAATTGGGGCATAATGTTGTTGTGCATTTCAAAGCCAACTCACGACATTTGGTGAACCATTTCACAAGAAGATTAATAATTTCCCCTATCAAATGAACTACTGGTAGCATTCTTGCAAACCTAAGGACCGAGTTTATTGACTCCGCAATATTTGTCGTCATTACATTGTAGCGGCGTCCATCCATGTGAGCTCTAGAACACTTATGTAACCCTGCCTGTTGAAGATATTGAGCAACGTGTTCCTTCCTCTTGATCTTGCGAAAATGACAATCAAATTCAGTAATTGAATAAGATTTCGCAGCCTGCTCAAAGTGCATCAGTATTTCATCATGCTTTTTCAACTTGCAAGTGCGTTTCATGTTCCCCTTCATATGATAAAAGCATATGCCATGTTGCGTTGTTGTCAAAAGTTTGTTCCACACATTCTCTATGCTAACATTGCAATCAGAAATGATAACAAGATTGGGACACTCACTAATGGCTTTATGAAGTTTAGTGAAAAACCAATGCCATGATGCATCCGTCTCCAAATCCCCGATTACAAAAGCAAGAGGGTATATATTTCAATTACCATTGAATGCATTTGCTACAAACATAACACCCTTGTACTTAGATTTTAAATGAGTGGCATCCGCAGCTATCACTGGGCGCATGGAAGAACGAATATACATACGCCAACTGACATAAAAAAAATTACACGAAGTGATTGTTCTCATCAGTATGGATGTGTGTCTTTGTGCCGGGATTCATACGCTCCAATTCACAGCAATAGGCTGGAAGGATATAAAATGCCTCCTCGGCTGATCCTCTAATGGACATTAGAGCTAACTCCCTCGCTTTCCAAGCTTTCGAATAATGAATGGTCAAACCAAAGTTCTGTTTCACATATCTCATTATGTCACTTGGTCTGTATATTGTCCGACAATCCTTCAATTTCCTTTTCAATGAAGTGGCTACAAGTGATGCAGTTGCTTGACGATGGTTGTCATTTACAAACCTCAAATCACATTCATGGACTGTTGTACACCTCATAATCATGAAGTTGTATTCTCCAATTCTCGATGCTCGGACTCGCCATGGGCATAGACGTTGACAACAAACCACAAGCAACCTCTTTGTGCAAGAGAATTGCACCTTAAATTGAAAATGGCCTCTCAATGCCCTCAACCGTAAGTTGGTCAACAAGGCTCCCTTACTAGAGAAAATTTGCCCAACTTTAATTTTCCAATTCCAATCACTTCGCAAATACTCTCTGTCAAAATATGCTTCTCCATCATTTACACCAGCCACATTGTACTGGTTTTGTTCACTTATTTCACTCAAATGATGTTCAGGAGTGGGTTCAGATTCTCCTCCTAAACGCATTATTGGCAACTGGACTGATGTGTCCAAGCGGCCCAAAATAGGAGGGGTAGAGTACACTGACACTTCATTTGTTTCATTACCATTATCACGACCATGCATCTCCTCCACCTCGCTAAAATCAATCATGTCCATAAAATCTGTCCCAACATCACCTCCCACATCAACGACATTTGTATTATTCCGAATTACTTCATTGCTTTCAACAATAGCAACTGAAGACTGACACATCCGACTACTATTTGTCGTCATATGCATACTATCAACTACATCATTTGTCAGTCCTTTATCTTCCATACTCACAAGGAAGGGGGCTAGTTTTGAAGGTGTTACCTCACAATTGTACTTCATAAAAAATTTCACATCATCATCGTCCTCAATCTTTATGTGCTTCCACTCATTCGAGGCCATCAAAACTGAGAACTTTAAGCAAACCTTGTCTTCCATGTTTATATTGCCAATATGATGCACACGATCCAACAGTTCAGCAAATGTGATGGTCCGTGGTACTATTAAGCCTTTTGAGTCACCCCCTTCGTATTTGCACATCTTTTTTGAGGTTACCCATTTTCCATTGTAACAAACCAGAATAACAATTGTCTCCATTTCTGACCATGAAAAAACAACATTTCATTAACAGATTTGAAGCCACGACCAAATCACTGCAATACAACCACAATAACCATGCAATACAATAGCAATACAACAACAATACAACAGAAATATAACAACACAACAACAATAAAACATCAATAACACAGCACTGAACAATGTATCATCACAATTACACTATACAAATCTAATACATCAAATGGAAAATTCCAAGTTTCAAGATTCACATATCCTGAGCAATCTCAATGCATTTGGTAAAAACCCAGACGGATGAGCATCAAGATTCAAAAACATTACCCAAAGCAATTAAAATAAAACCAATTTCACAGCAAGCCAAGCAATCAAAATAAAACCTATTTCATAGAATCCCACAGATATTAACAAAATGACCATCAACACCTCCTATTGGAGGTCAGCAATGGAGTAGAGCTTCAAGGTTGCAAGCAGCTGCGACCTTACGTTATTTAGAAGATATACCTAGAAGATGGGGTCGATGAGAGGTTTCCAGATTCAGAACAAAGAGATGGGGACAATTCAGACCAAAGAGCGCTAACGAGACAGAGCTGCGTGAGAGGGATACCTTTGCACGAAAAGAGAAGGAGAGCTGGGGTAGAGAGAGAGAGAGAGATGGAGAGAATACAGAGCTGAGAGAGAGAGAGAGAGAGAGAGAGAGAGAGAGAGAGAGAGAGAGAGAGAGAGAGAGAGAGAGGGAGGGAGGGAGAAGGGAGAGAGGATAGTCAGAAACAGATAAAGTGT